TGGAGGCAAACAGTGGTTGTAGAACTCTTAACGCCACCCTGTTTATGTTAGTTCATGGAGCCTTCAAGAATACAACATCTTGTACACTTCCTCAGAAGTCCCAAAGCAGAGTTCTGTAACAACAGCTGGTCACAGAGGCACAGGAGAAAGAAAAAAAAAAAAAAAAAAAAAAACACAGGGAAGACTGTATGGGCTTGAAAAGAGGCCAGTAAAGGAGCAGTGTAAATGAAACGGGAAACATAGTCTGACATATTTATTTGTAACAGCTAAATATACATGATATCTGTCTGAAATGGCCCATCTGGGTGGAAAGGCCTTGCAGAGGGATCTGGATAGGTTGGAGAGCTGGGCGATCGCCAGCCGCATGAAGTTCAATAAGAGCAAGTGCCGGGTCCTGCACCTGGGACAGGGAAACCCTGGCTGCACGTACAGACTGGGCGATGAGACGCTGGAGAGCAGCCTCTCCAGCCTCGAGAGGCAGGAGACCTTTTCTCCATTAACACCAGCGACAGGACCCGCGGGAACGGGGTTAAGCTGAGGCAGGGGAAGTTTAGGCTTGACATCAGGAGGAAGTTCTTCACAGAGAGGGTGGTTGCACACTGGAACAGGCTCCCCAGGGAAGTGGTCACTGCACCGAGCCTGTCTGAATTTAAGAAGAGATTGGACTGTGCGCTTAGTCACATGGTCTGAACTTTTGGGTAGACCTGTGCGGTGTCAAGAGTTGGACTTGATGATCCTTAAGGGTCCCTTCCAACTCAGGATATTCTATGAAAAAGGAAAAGGATATTAACACAGATCTGAGATGCGGCATTGCTGTGATCTGCTAGGTGTCCATGAGCAATTTCCAACCTTCCAGACACTAGCCTTTAGGGAAGGCAACTCCCAGTGGATGCAGGAACAGTAACAGACTGGAAAGCTCATCAAATGAAAAGAGAACTCATATCTTGGCCTACTCTCAAGTGGAGTGAAAACTTGAGACCACCACAGGGCAAGGTCTATCCCTCCAATGGACTCCTGAGTTTCACATCACTATTTACGTGACATGTGGAAAAGCAGAAGCATGTCACTCTACAAAGGTCAAGTATTTCATATATTTGAAGAGCTACAGGAGTCCAGGAGAAAACATTTACATTCCACGTGTCAATAGTGTTATAGTCCCGTATTCCTGACTCTTGTTTAAAAAAGCATTATATAAACAAAGAAAAGTAATCAAGGCTTTTTTCTATATAAATATACATGTGATACAATATATACTGCACTTGAACTCTGAAAAAGGGTTCCTTTTGCATGATTTATTTTTCATTTTCTACTGATAGACATTGCAAGATAGCTTGTAAGGGTCAGCGTACTCTGATGAATCCATATATTATCAATTACAAAACACTGCATTAGCATGTCATCCACAGAAAGTACATACAAAGGTTAATACAGTATGATTAGTCATTTATTAATTAGAAGATAATGTTGAATAATTGTATTCCTTCAGAATGAACACTAGCTTTCTCATTTGAAAGTCAGTAGAAACACGAAAGGAAAATAGAGACTACAGAAGAAGGAACATGCAACTATGCTGAAAACAAATTTGGCTGCATCTAAATGACTTGCAATTTACTGGCAACAACCACCACCACCAATTTCACCTAGTGAAAGAAATTCTTTCACTGTTATTAACTAGTTCGGTAGACAGTTGCATTGCCTTCACCATTCCTGCTTAAGTCAAAACTGCAGCCTCAACCTCAACAACCTTTAAAGGGTAGTCTCTGAGGAAATTAAGGTCTTTTCAATTCTTAACTCTAGCTCTTCATCTTCATTTATCCATAATGCATTTTGATGCGAGCTGCTAAACAAGAAAATTGTGTGAACAGTAACAGCACCACACTAAAATGGTATTAATAGGCTGCAGCCCAATAAGCAAAAGTCCGATTAGAAAGGCAAAGGCCTAAGGAGCTTTGTGTTGCAACTTCTCAGGGAGCTATTGAAATAATATAATTGGATTCTGACTACCAAGAGCCTCCTCGAAGCCCCGAGTTGAATTTCCTAGCCTATTCAAACTTCACCTTTAATTCTCCACTTGGGGTGCACACGCTGTTTATGATTTATGCAATTCACACATTACACTTGAGCATCCCTGTCCTTCCCCAGTTCCTGTCCCCATTCCTCTTGAACTAGAGAAACTAACCCCCCAACTACTATGGATCATTTTCCTCCAGCTGCATAGAATGTACCTAGAGAGCAGTAATCCATACATTTTATTTAATGAAATTTAATATTCGGGAAAGCCACGCAACAATACTGCTTTTCTCCTCATATTCTTCCAATAATGAAAACTGTTCTGTCTATCCATATATATATATATATATATATTAATATATATTATATATATATATGTGATATATATATATAATTATTTTTTTTCCCCGAGGCGCAAGTAAGATCAACTGAAGAGCAACAAGAACTGAGATGGTCCTGCTGCTTGGTTCCAAGAAGGACATCACAGAGAGCAAGCTTAAGCAGCAAAAGATTGCAATCTGCCTTATTTAAGAAGTCAGATCATTTTTTCACAACAAAATTTCAGTCCTGCTCACTCACACCCTGAAGTGCCCACCTCCTGCTACAGATCTAAAGAAACAGCACAGACATGTTCACAGACACAAACAAGACACAGCTGAAAGCACTTCTGATGTTTCCACCCTCTCTCACCTCCTTTTCACACCTGTTTCTGATGGTAGCCACCCCAAGACTGAGCATTTGGCCTTGACATGAAGTGGTAAATACCACGTCTATAAGAGAGCAGTAACAGAAATTTCAAACAAACAAACAAACAAAAATCACCCAATAATGACCTGCTCTCCAAGGAGCTCCCTCATCAGCTCCCAGAAGGATCTCTGCATGTGAGAGGTGTGAGCACTGGTCCCCCACTGCACTCTGAAGGGCACATTTAGGTGTTTCCCTTCTGCTCCCACTGGAAAGTCACACACAAATGCATGCTCATTAGCACATCACCCTCCAGGTGGTACACTTCTGTTTTATCTTTTTGTACTGGAAAGACAATTTCCTCATTAAACCTTTGTGACCTCCAGCTAACTGATTCAGGGTCTTACTCCAGCCTGGATTTCTGGCCCCTTTTCATCATTATGTACATGGAATTTCAGCCAGCAATCACTAATGCTGTCTTTTATAAAATGCAGTCACATGTAGCAGCACAGCCTTTGAGAAAGGCTGTGAAGAAGAGGGGCAGGGCACCGAAGGGAGAAAAAACAGACAGAAAACTGATGTTTACACTGTGTAGTCCACAGACCAGAGGCAAGAGATGCACAGCATGGCATTCAGAATTGCTGAAGAATTGCAGTGCAGAAAACCAGCAGTGAGTCACCAAGCATCTCTATGAAGGCCTCAGGTCAGTGTGATAAATACTGATTAGAAACAGTTTAAGCACTTAGCTGAATTAGAGCATAGGAATAGCGGTCTTGGATCTTTCCTGCAAGTCACCATCAAGGATGTAGACACAGTTTAAAAAGCTTGGACTTGCAGTAGGCTCAGGAGACACGTTCATTTACGGAGACTTTTAAATAATGAAATCACTTCAAACACAGGAAACCTGGTCTTCCTTTGTTTTCTCAGAGAAGGTAAAACCCCTTACTCCAGTCCAAGCTCACCTAAAAGGTTGATTTCCCACTTTCACCCCAAAGGAGAAAGCAAACTCCCTTTCCAGTCAATAAAAAGTCACGTTCTTGCTATTGGAATCAGAGGTAATGAAGGAGGGGAGGAAAAACAAAAACAGGATATAACCCACTTCCTTTACGAGCTGCATTATTTATTTCTTGGTTATTAGGTATCAAATCCTTCCCAGATAATGCAGAGATAAACACAAAGATAAAGTCAAGAACAAGTCAAGGGGTCTATACCACAGACTGCCTGCTGCTTCTTGACACAATGGGGAGAAAGACATCAACAATGAAGGAGTCCTCCAGTGCTCTGCAGCCTTACAACAAAAACTATCAAATAAATAAATAAATAAATAAATAAATAATTGTTAAAGCCATTACACATGCTCATTAACAAAGGCTGCTAACAGGTCCTGGTGCCCCTGGCTAGAAGGTGCTGGCGGCAGAGGAGAAAAGTCTGTTCCTGAGGTGAGCGAGTCAGCTCCAGGGGCTTCACCCCCTACCCATGCTCGTACATGGCTGTTTGCTAGCACATACCACAACACAGAGGTGATAACAACATGCTGCTAGGGAAAAACAAACAAACAAATAAAAACAACTAAAAAGGTAAGCAAAAAAACAGGATAACATCCTGTGTAAAGGCACTACACTCATGCTGAAGCACTGGTCAAGTGTGAGGTGATGTCTTGTAAAGGAAGGGGGAGTACCTTCCAAATAGGAAGGGATTGCTATCATCTAGACTGAGAGCTTTGATCTTAAAAGAAGGTTAGGGTTTAGTCCAGCAAGAGTTCTTGTAAGGTGGTAATTACTTGACTTTCCACACAAGAAAACACACTGGTTTATCTATGGAGACCAAACACTAGCACTATGCTGCTGCTCTAGGTGTATGGGTGCAGGCATTTGCAGGCCTCTCACAAGTTCCTCCCCAGACATACTGATTTTCAAAATGCAAATCACATCCAGCATGACAGATTATGTTAGGAGGTGCATACTAAGATACCCACACAGCACACTGACTCCCCAAAACCCTTGCCTGAGGACAGGAGCCTCCCAGCTGACTTCCCCAGCCCTGACAGTCCCACAGAGGGATCCCCAGCAGCACTGCTGCATTGCCCAAGCTTCACCTCAGCACTTCAGGGGGCAGTCAGCACAAGGCACTGGGATGCTTGAGATTTTCTTTCAAACTTCTTTCAAACAAACAACTTCTTTTCTTCATCTTTAAGAAGCCCCCAGCAGCCCCAAATACCAGTCTATCCCTCTCTCTATGCCTCAATATGTCCTGAGCAGTATGAGCCCCTCCAACTACTCCCATGCCTTACGGGCACCCCAGCCTACCTGAGTGCTGCAAGTAGCCAGACACCATCCTTCATCTCTGCTTCCATGAGGGTTTAATGGCCCAAGGCAGCTGGGTGGCTGGAAGGGCAGCACCACCCCAGCCCTAGCGAGGTGATGTGAGGCAATAAGTGCTACCTTTCCTGCAATGGGCTAGCATGAGGTAGCAGCCATCTGCCACTGCTGCCATCCCCCTAGCAGTGCCTCAGCACCTGCCTCAGTGGAGCCTGCCCTGAGAAACACCAGGTAAGAGGCTTCTGTGGGGAGTGCTGGTTGCCTGCAAGCCAGGGCCTACCTTAGCCTGGGCAGGCTTTTTTCCAAGTGGGGTCTGAGAGATCTTGGCTGGGTAGGCGTGGCAGGGAAGGTGTGTTTCATTAAATTAAGTGGTCTGGAGTTTCAGGAGTTTTTAGAGGAGTTTTTAGCTGCAGTAATTGTTTTTCCCCAGGCAACATGCTGGATGTATATGAGTAACTTGGTTTAGTAGAAGGTGTCCCTGTCCATGGCAGGGGTGTTGGAATTAAATCATCTTTAAGGACCCTTCCAACCCATCCCATTCTACGATGCACATCTTGTGTGAGGAACGGAGATAGGAGGCCTGGAAGTAGAGGTGAGGTGTTTACCAATACAGAGCAGGCCTAGAAGCAACCCATGAAAGCAAGGGTTTGGGTTTGTGTGTCCCTCTGGAAAACACCATGGCGAATACACCATACGTAGAGTGTATTCATTAACAAATGAACACACGCTAGGGTTGCACGGTTGTTTTTGTGGTTCCCTCCTAATGTCTTACAGTAAATGTTATTTTATGTATCTTTATACTTTTTTCTTTTTTTTGATTTGATTTTCTTTTTTTTTTTTTGGTGGCATAGTAGATGATTCCGACCTCCTTTTGTAGAGACCATACTTGCCTCTGGCTTCTCCTCAGAGGTTAAGGTGGAGAAGATTAGCCTTGTTTTCTGCTTCAGATGTAATGCTTTCCTGCAAGCAGCTGTGGGCTGGACTGCGGAGTCACTATTTCAGTGTGTTTAAAAATACAAGAGCTGCAATAAATGCAATTGAAAGATTTGGTAATCGTGAATGAAGGGGATCAAGCTTGTTACTTTGTCCTATTTCCTCAGGGAAATCCAAATGTAGAGCAGTAGTTTAAATAAAAACATAGGGGCTTTTGAATCTGTTTGAAGCACATGTTTTTTTAATAATCTGCAATGGAAATCTTCTAGGCATAAATGAAAAAAAAGTATTTAAGGCAACATTAATTACTGCTGACCAAAGGGGCTTAGATAGCCTGAGATGTAATGGTCAGAACTTGCATTCTGGGGTTAAACTGGGTAAGTTTACTTCCTTTCGGTTAGTAAAGCGGCGGTCTCTTTGGAGTTATGAAGAGTATAAACTTACGGTTCTTCTAATGATTGGTATTATATTTGTCAAAGCATTTGACATGTAGGTTACCTAAAGATTCTGGATGTTCATATGGTCAGTAACTTCCTACATGTATATAAACAAAAAACACATAGGAGGAATGTTTCCAGTTGTTATTTTCACAACACTGTAAATTTACTAAGGGAAAACATGACCAAACATGTTTTATACAGATTGAGTACGTTATAAGTTATTGTATTAGACTTAGAATTTATTGTGTTGACTGGAACATCACCTTTGCAAAAAAGGAAAAAAATAAAAATAAAAATCATGGATATTGCAATGTGCAGAATACCTTTGTCAGACTCCTGTCCAGTGGTCTGGCTGTGAGGAAGGTTCTCAGAAAAACTTTTTTTTTTTTTTTTTTTTTTTTTTTTTTTTTTTTTTTTTTTTTTTGTTAAGAATCTTGGGGATGAGGAATCTCTCTGAGATGTGAGATGCAGGACTGTTGTAGCACACTTTAATTGGGTGCTTTGGTTCATGCCTTTCTGTACCGCTTAAAAATTGAACCGATCATTTTTTATGACATGGGACATATTGCTGCCTGTCTTATGACAATATTCTTCATAACTTTTTAAAAACATATTTAAATCTTATGAAAGGTGAGAGATTTATAGCTGTAAATAGAGTGGGATTTTCCAGGCCACTTGAAGGGAAATCAAGCACCCAAAGATGCATCAAGCAGGTCTAAAAGATGTTAGTCTTATAGAGGAGTGAAGTTAATAATCCTGTTTGCCTTAAAGTACCCTTGATTTTTCAATATCTCTTTCTTTGAAATGTAAACAAAACTTACTAAAATTATTTTGAATGGTATAGTTTAAAAAAAAAAATGTTTATCCAAGACTTTGATGTGGGGACACCTGGAAGATTCGATTATGTGTGATTCAAAGTAAATCAGACCACAAAGGGACTTGAAGCCCGATATCTAGTCTGAAAAAAGCTGTCGTGTAAAAATTCTTTCATGAGAGCCTTCTGAATGGCATGGATTGAAATGAACAGCATATTTTGTGGCTAGCAGTAGGAACACTGCTTGTGCATAGCATGTCTTTGTTTTACTGCAAGCCTGGTCAAATAGTTTCAGGAAGGCATTTCATGTCTCTTAATTCTTTCCCTAGCCCTGCAAAAGGGTTAAAATGCTATTGCTTTGTGTTCTTTTTTTTTTGTTTTTTTGTTTGTTTGTTTGTTTTTTGTTTTTTTTAAAGTGCAACCTACAGTACTATTAAATGCTTTTTTTGTCTGTGAAAAAATCATTGTAATACCGACTTGCTTTGCATGTTGCAGGTCACCTCTTCTATTGGTGAACTTAATCTTGCAAGTTCTGACAATATATATGCTTTTCTGCAATATATTACCAATATATGCTTATGTATAGTATTTATAAACATATATAGTTGCTTTTTTTTTTCTTAAAAGAAATTTAGATACTTTATGCTTTGTGATAAAGAGAAATATATTAGTAGCTTCAGCTGTTTGCTGTATTGCCATGACATTGTACTGGGAAAGAGCACAAACAAATCATTTTTATAACTGTGTGAATGAGAAATTATTGTTTTTAGCTTCACTCATCTCTTTTTATTAACTTCAGGCACAAATGCAAATCATCAGCAACCAGATGTGTAGTCTTTGTATTACCTTATTTATGCTACATGATTATGAAACAACAATGCTAAAAAAATTAAAAAAAAAAAAACATTTATTTTTAGATCACCCAAACTTACATGCCAAGAATTCAAGTCTGATTTGTAAGTAATTCTTGTTCTTGGCTGTATCTCATGTATGTGCTCTGGATTTTGATGTTGGAGTTTACTATATTTTTTTTTCCATGATTGAGAGGAGTCGCAGAATGAAGCATTGTTAGAGGTAGGAAAGACCTCCTGGAATATCCAGTAAGAGAATTACTTTATCAGTATGTGTTTGCAAGAGCTTTTCAGTCTGCTTCAATAAGACCAAAGTGATCAATCATGTTTCAGCTGCTTTCTCAGGAACAATTTTGTTGATCTCAAATTTTTACCCTGTATTTCACATATGTATTTGTTCCCATACTACTTACATTAAATAATTTCTTCTTCATGGCAGTATTTTGTAGCAGTTTAGTGCATTTATTTTCTTGGTAAATGTTAATTCCTGATGTGCGCATCTTTTCACGTTCCACCCAAACAGAAATTAACCCTCCAATTATTTCTGTTGCTAATTCAGGGAAATTGTGCTCTGTCTCACTGCTGTGCTAGAGGTGGCAATGCTGTGATATTGCTAGTCTTGTCAGATCTGGGTCAGGTGGAAGAGGATTAATCTGCCTGTTTAGTGGTAGTGGTTTTGCATATGCCACTCAGTCATGGCCATCTTTCCTCGTGTGAATATTGTTTTATGCTCTTGATGGGCTCATTGTCTGTGTTTGCCTTCAGGCCTTGTTCAGGTTTAGTATTGATCTATATCCTAAATCCTTGTCTCCCTATTCCTTTTGAAGAGGCAGCTTTTTGAGTGGAATAGTAGGCTTTTGTCCCACTAAGTCCAAAAGTAGTATTTTTCTGCCTGCTTGATGTTTACTTTTGTGCCCCCTAAAAAAAAAACCTTTCCCTTTACTCCACAGAGGTTTTCAGCTCTTCTGCATCCTTTAAGTGTGCCTTCCAGTTATTTTTCCCAAAGTGTCTCAGTGGATAATCAAAGAAAACTGAATTACCTAAAGACGTTGGTTCTCTGAACAGAGGGTTCAAGATAAAGCCATCAGAGTTGCAATGCACAGCCTGGGACAGGCAATTTAGGCAGGTGTTGCTGTGTATGGCAGAAATGGGAGAGGGTAAAACGCCTCACGAGCCACATCTTCCTATAATGTGCCTGTTTGCTTGGCCAGTGTTCAGCAAGGATTGAATCTCTTCTATTGTAAATAGAAGGTAATTAAAATAGTTGCTATATAGGCTTCTGGATTTAGTGTCTGTCTTGTTTCTGTGCAACAAGCGCTTTCCTTAAGAGAAACATTACTAATTTACCAGTCAGACAAGTAGTAAGCTTGCAAAATACTTATGTGTAACAGCTCCACGGCAGACAATTAAGACAGTGCTCTCCAAGCATCGTCTGTTCATAGGATTTCAGAAGCTTTTGAAGCCAGTGATTTTGGAAAAGTTGCCCAGGTTGCAGAGCTTAAGGAGCTGTATATTTCATAGAATATTTTAGTTCAGTTATTTCCACTGCTCTGGTCTTTCCAGTAACTGGAGCATAAAGAATCGTGCTTTACTTTAATGCATCCGAGGGAATACTTTTAATTTACCTTTCGTTTGTGAAAAGGCAGCAATGAAAAATTGAAAGCCATGACTTTTTCTAGGAAATAAATCATCAAAAAATACTGTGAACAATTGATTGGGGTTTTAACTGGTCAAAGTATTCTTGAATACATACAGAACCAGAAATTTATTCCTAGTTAAGAAATGTGTACTCCCTTTTCCTCATGTATTTTTTAGATTCTCAACCAGCTTGTACTCAGAAGTTCTCATGATCACAAAGTCTGTTTCCATACAACTATGAATGAAATGTCACAGCTCCTCATGTTGTAGTAACAATGAAATGGAATCAAATTTTTTTTTCCTGTGGCTAGGGATGAATAACATGTACTTTTGAGTAATTTTCAGTTGTACTTTTTTCCCTTCAGACATCAAATAAAGCTAAAGAGCAATGATCATTGAATCACTAAATAACTTTTAGAAATAGCTAAATTTCAGGACAGAGATGCATTCTAATTAAAAAAATAATCTTGGGACTTTCAAATCATTTGATCTTTGTCTTGTGGTTGTAGTATATGTGTATTAGTCATAATTACCACTGTCAAAGCACAGTTTCCT